TTATGTTCCAATCCGAAGACAAGAACAAATCCAGTAACGGAACATCAACATTAATTTAAGAGGTGAGGAAAAATGACTTAATAACACTGCAGGAGGATACCATTCTTCAACAGGTCATGGAGGCATAAACTTTTCAACAAATTAATTCTTGAAACAGTGTATAATATGTGCTAATAGGTGAGGGGACTACTGAAAAATTGCTAATACCTTGCTGCACAAACTTAGAAGAGAAGGTAACTTTTACAGTCTCTGTTCCCCTGATCAGCAGTTAAACTGGGGAAAGAGGCAGGAAGTCTCCTGCTTGCTTTCCCTTGAGCAAAGGGTAGAAAATGAGTTGCAGTTAACCATGAAATGCAACTCCCTATTAAGCCTCTATTTAATAAGTGATAGTAAATACTACTACAAACATGTCCTAGTGAAGAAAACTGTGTACCTAAAGAGTCAGAACAGCAAAGAGCAGCACAGAAAAACCACAATAATAATTTACTACTAGTTTCATCCAACCAACTGGGACCTCCAAGTACACTTAAAATTCATGAAACTTTCTCTTCAATAACTCAGTTATGCATGAGTGCTTTATAAAGATGCTTGTGTCCTTACTAGAATACAGTACCTTGCTGAATACAAGATAAGGCACAATATAAAAGGGAAGAAGAGTTTTCTAATGCAAGAGAGGGGAGAAAAAAGTGTCTGTTTTGGACACAGTAAATGCTATGTCACTTTAACTTCCCCGCCCACCCAACCCTGATTCTTTCAGAGAACGGGGAACCAGAGAGGGAAGAAGATGGCCCAGACATATGCCACTGAATGTCTAGAAGCCAAAGGTCTTTTTGGCTAAGCAAAAAGGAAGGTTGGGTAGAAACCAGCAAACATCTCAGCCTTTGCAGTTCGTTGCTTACACAGGTTATACAGCTCCTTAGCCTCAACCTGATGGAGAACGCCCAACAGAATATGGGATTTCTCAACCTGCTCAAGAATACAATCTCACAGTAACTTATGATTTTCCTCAATTGTAAGGGCCTGAATTACTTTGAATTTCACTAAGAAAAGAGAAATGGAAGAAACAGGTATAACCTGACAACTCTAGAAAGATTTTTCAGATTTTAAACTTAGAAAATGTTATTCTAATCCTGGTTCACAAGGACTCATTTTAACCAAAATGTTCTATTATTTGGTGAAGCTGTTTAAAGATTGATTCTTAGTCACTGTTCACATCTAATAATGAAATTTAGAACTTCTGTTAACTAAAAAAACTAAGGGCTACGTGCATTTACAAAATAATTAAGCCTAGTATTTGTCCTGTTTGTTGAACACTTACTGTTTTCTACTTCATTTGTCTATTCATGGTTTAGGAATACAGCAGACTGGAATTTCATAGGAGGTGATTACTTAGTTGAATAAGAAGTTAACTCAAATGTTTTTTTATTTATTTAGACATACCACTACTGTTAGTAAAAATTACTGTTTTTATGATAATGAAATGTTAGTAAAAATTTCACAGAAATCATCTTCAACTTGAACTTTTATAAATTGTGTCATCACATCAACACAATTATCTGCTTGTTTTTTTAAATATAAAGTAGCTAGACTCTTATTTGAACACCTTATTCGAACCTTGCTAAGTCTAACTAAAGAACAAGCTGCCATAAGAGCATACAATATTTAGTACTTTAATTATTTTCTGAAGTCTCCTAAATGACGATACACTCTCAAGTCCTACTGACAACATCATCTTCAGAAGTCTTAAGTGAATGAACCATACGTTTCCCTTCCTTGCAAGTTAAGTCACAATAAATTTCTCAGGCCCAGGTACGTGGATGGAGTCACAACTGACCATTCTATCTACAGGGATAACTACAGGGAGTTCAGTAACTACAGGGAGTTACTGAAGCTTGCTGTATGAAAAAGAAAACACTTTCAAGTTAAAATAATTACTCCCGCTCTCCTGTAAATGGACATTCTCTACTTTATTACACTACCTGCAGGAAAGACCACTATAAGTATCTTAAAACTCCTTTCACCATGGCATGGTCAGCAGTACACAGTGCTGCTCACAATGGCAGATGTTTATGCAGTACTAACTCAAAATAAGTATCTTATAAATCAAGTGCAAAATAGCTTTCCTTCTGTCAAGAAAGAACTCAAGTGGGAACAAATACATGAAATCTGACCTTTACATGAAGAAAAACTCATTTAGTTATTACCAAGAAAAACTGGTTCTGTTACAAAAACTTTCAGCACTTTGCATTTCTAAATCTTTTAGATGAATATTCCTATATATTTTTCCTCAACTTAAGCTGACCAGGACCCTTTCAAAGAAAGAGAAAGAAAAACGAAGAGAAAAAAAGGACTGAAATGCACTGGAGACCTGCTGCTACCCACAGCTACCAGATACATTGATTTGGAGAATATTGCCAGCCACCTTGATTTTGGATTCAGAGATACTCTTTTTTAAAATTCAGTTGTTCATAGATTTAAGAGCTCATTTAGAAAAAAAATATTCATACTGGAATACATCCAGTTACCTCCAACTAGCTGCAGCCACATATCAGCAGCTATGATTTTCATGTGTTGCTATTCAAAACAAGTCACTGCTGTATCTATCTTAAATTAAACCTTCACAGTCAAAAGTTTCCAGTTATACAATAATTTTACCTCTTTTGAAATAATAGTTATGGACACTAACAGAAGCAGTGCAGAATGAAGAATAATGTTTGAGCAATTTCTAAACATGAACTTATCTGTGTCAATTGAGTAGATGTCAACAGTCATTATATACGTTTGCATTTTTAGGATTATTTACACCTATCACAATTTTCTCTAGATATTAATGAGTCTTAAGGGAAAAAATAAAGTTCAACTCTAGTTTTCAAACTGCTGCTCAAAGTGTTTCAGCAGATGGCAATTCTGCTGAGAACTTGAAGCTAAGCACTGACTATGCTGAGGCACAGAAAACATCATGGTGAAAGACTGGATTCCCCTACACTGGCATCAACTTTCTATTTCTTCACATATTGCAGGGCAAGATATGTCAACAGAAGAGAATGAAAGCTTGTCTATGAAGAGCAGTAATGCTCTACTAAACACTGCTAGAACACAAAGGTAAATAGCACAGTGAACTCCTTCTCAGCTTGGAAGTGAGCCACACTGGTATTTACCTCAACAAACACTCTCTAAAGTGTTCTAAGTTTTGGGTTTGTTTTTTTTTTTTTCTGTTCTGAAGCAAAACACAAGACAGAAGGAAAAACTGCAGCGTCTTTTGTTAAAAGAGCAAAGCCTACAGAATTACCAAAAAATAAATGAGTCTTTTATTGCTGACTGAGCTTGCCACAAACAACTTACAGTGTATACCATGTCCACTTTGAGCAATCCTATAGCATTTGAGATGTACAAGTGTACTTTTTTTAGTCATTTCTAATGCTCACTAACCCCCCAAGACATCTATTGTCTGCTCATAATTTGCTCTCCACTTATACGGAACTTTTTCCACAGAGCTGGACAGAAATGCCCCAATACCGAAATACAAAAGTTCTAGTTATTTAGGAGCTGAAACCTAATAAAAATACTACCAATGTTGCTAAACTATTAATGTAGATAAATGTACATAAATACAAAATAAATGTTTAGAAAGCTCCAGGGTTCTTCCTTATACTTTGGATCATTAACCTTGCACATCATGAAATTCATCTGCTCACTTATTCAAGTAGTAAACAGATAGGATGTGGATAACATTAATAGTTAAAAATATACAAACCAGAGCCTCCAGAAGCCTTAATGCATAGGAGAGAGAAAAAAATCATGTTCTGAGGACTATCACTACAGCGGCTTTTGTTGCAGCAAGAAAAGAGCAATCTCAGAAGACGGACTCTATAGAAGACTCTAATCAGATTGCTTGTTCAGTTTCAGCACTTCTCATCAACCGTGACAGAGCATTTGGGTCCAACCTGACTGCAACCCATCAGCTCAGAATCAACACTCCTGCTTCATGGCTTCCAAATGCTGTTAACCAGTACCAGTTAACAGTTCCACATAACTGCATTTATTTATGCTAGAATATTGGGGGTAGCATTACAGGATGGCAAAATCCTACACTGAGCTTGAAAAGTCAAGCAGTCTGAAATAAAGAAGTGCCTGATCTAATCTATTTTTATACTTGTGATCTGGCCTCTTTATTTAATTTTAAATTACTTTCGTAACGTATGCAAGTCACAGAACTTCTCTTTTAGAGGACCCTTAACTTCCTTACTGGAAAGAATGAAAGGCATTCAAAAAGTACAACTGGAATTTTACAGAAAGCAAAACAAAACTCCTTTCTGCTCTTGACTTTGTTTTAACCCCAAGGAACATTTCAAAGAAAAATGAAAGAGAACTAAATTCTGCCTACTTTCTCTGCTACAGAATTTCGACATGACTTTTGTAATCTATTTATTCTATTTATTTTCAGGATGTTCACAGTTACTCTTAGGTTTACCAAGAGAAGCATTATATACCATCACAGTTCCATAGAGGTAGAGAGGTGTGTACTTCCAATGCTTAAAGAATCAAAAAATTTTATGTCTTGGGGGAGGGGTGCTAAGAAAGACTGCAGTTCCAAGGCTTCTCAAAGCTGATATCCAGTATCTGTGTATGTTTGACATTTGTGCTTTAACTTCTGATCTATGTATGGTGAAAAAGAATATCATCACCTCTGACTTACACAAATGTCAAGATGGCAAATTACTTGTTTTCTTGAAGCACTAGGGGGCTAATGAGTTCTTTAAAGGATTTCTCTAAAGAAAATAATAGTTCTCTATTCAGTTCAATGTGCAAATGTTGTTCCTATAATATTGCAATTAAGAAGGCATTCTTCAGTACTACTTAATAGTGAGGCGGCCTATTCATTAGAAATACAACCAACCATGGTGGATTCAGAACCCCCAGCATCCTCACATCAAAATAGAGTAGCTGTTTAAAATAGAAATTTTCAGCAAACAGAGCTTATCTAGATGATATTTAATGACTTGTGATTTAAACCAGGAGATTACACCAGTAATCTTGTGCTTTCCTGTACTCTGATCCTTCTATCATCATTGAAAGACAGTTACAATGAATACACACAGATTGGATTAATTATTACAGCACTATAACCTGTCTCGTCATTTCCTAAATCTTCAGTGCCAGATTCAGCCAACAGCCTATGATGTCTGCAAAGGAAAGGAACAAAATCTTACAGGTTCAACTACTAGAAATGCAGTTATTTCAGGTTACTTTTCAAGAAAGGCCTTATCTGTATCTCCAGCATAGGACTACACACACACACATCCACCCCCATAATAGAGAGTCATCTACTTAAAATTAAGGATAAAGACATTCCAGCTGAAAACTGCATTAAGCTACTTTTTTCTCCCTAATAGTTAAGTGATATTTAATCACTTATTTATTAAGGGATATTTAATGTGATAACAAGAAGATTATCTAAAGGGGTATTTCCCCCGCAATGCTTGCAAATTAATCCAACAGTTTAAATTTTACCTTTTGAAAATCCCATCTCGATCACTGTAAAATTGTTTCTTTATCTCTGAATACAACAGTCATTAAATTTCTCATTTAATTAATATTACATGGAAACTCACTCACAGACTTGAGCTTTTTTTTAAAAAAGCAGGAAGTTATAGTTGTATTGACTAAATCTGCATGAGCAGTTTGCCCTCTGGTGACTAACTTTGTGAGAATGTTTTGCAATACATATAAGGAGACTGGCATGAATAAACAATGACTAGCGTGTTTGCAGGCTACATAAGAAAAAGCATCGAAAGTTTTTAAAGAAATTATATGCATTAATTGTAGCAGTGCAGTATGATTTCCTTTAAATTAAGAGGAGAAACAAACTGGACTGAAGATAAAGTATCAAGAAGATGAAGAACAGAAATTCAACTACAGAAAAGAAACATACAGAAAAGAACTGAAATTCCAAAATTTTGCCTATGACTTCTGAAGGCTACAACAAAATAAGGGAACCCTAAACTAGGAATAAAGGTCCCTAACTGCATACATTCCTCAAGGGTATGAAAGGCAAATCCAAAATCAGGTTGTCCAAAATCAGCAGGGAAATAGTATCATCTCTAGTTCAAGACAAAAAACCCAGCTTGGCTAGTATCACAAAGAAATCCTCATTGACTGTAGAAAGGAAATCAAGTCAGGATCCTAGCTGTCTAGCTGCTAGAACATATTTCTTTCATATGAAATGGCTAAAGAACTGAAAAGTAATCAGTTACATTTCATTCTATCAACCAGATCACATTTGTCCCATACACAAACAGCTGCACTTCCCTTACAGCTAGCTGCTCAAAAAAAGGGTTTTCACAAGGGAGGTCTTTCCTGGTCTTGCCTTGCCTGTGTATGCAAGGACTGTTGAAATGTCTAACTGCCATGACTGTTCACCTAAATTCTTTCTTACTGTCCTTAACTAAGACTCGCTGTTGGATAGTAACTACTTCCATTTAGAGATGGTCAAATGTGTTAACAGTAATGACAGAGGAAAGGAGATGCTCGGGGTGGAATGCAAGAAAGAATTGCAAAGTAGAGTTAGCTTCCTAAATCATTGTTGTCTTGCTTGAATTCACAAGGAAGTTTAGTTAGTTTGAAGACTGTAGAATGCTGGATAATGTCGCTGAAGGACACGAAATTATTCACACAAACGCTTCTCAGTGTTAGAACAGGAAAGAACCAACCTTTATTCTCTGCCTCCAGTATTTATAGATTCTCAACAATGACCAGGGATTGGATAATTAAGTTATCACCTTCCCAAGCACACTGGTCATGCGAAACATCCATCAGAAGACGTTTCTTAGAAGGAATGTGATGAACAACTTATGTTTATAAAACTTTCATGGGAAAGTAACTAAAACTGTGAAAACATTATCAGAAGGCTTTAGTTTTCAGGGTGACATTGATCATAAAACACATCTTCCCAGCTACTTCGAAATGTTAACCTCCTCTGGCACTCCTGTTATCTGTCAGCCTGTTGTTTGGCAGTACAAGGGGAAAGAAAAAGGTAGATGCTAGTGCTGTGCAATTTTGATTTGGCATTAGCAATCAGAAACCCCAGAAAACATGCAGTCAGCTTGACACATATCCTTATGAATTCCTAAATACTCTGCAGGCAGTAGTGCCTAATGCATCTCCAGTAGCAAACTACATTTTATGTAAAAGACAAATCATGAATCTCCATAACACTTTTAAAGGAATGCGTTGAATGTTTCTAAAATATGCATTCTGATATTGCCCTCTCTTCTCAGGCAGAAAGAGTTAAATAACCTCTTTTTATTCCCTGAAGGCTGCTGGTCCCATGCAAAAGTGCCATGTTTTATTTAAAACAATCTCCCTCAGTAACCACTTGTTCTATTGGCAAGGCAAGGCTGGGTCCCCAAAGCACATAGCTCGTTAGATTCAGTTTGGATTATAAAAACACGATGAAATTAACTGCATCAAAATATACAAATTAACATCTCAGGAGCGCACAACACGGACATGGAATTAGACTGTAATATGGAACAAACTCCACAGGGAGGCTAAGGAACAAATCACTTGTGTCTCTATAAACTATAGAAGGGTTACAAATGAGCAAATACGCAAAACAGAGCACAGACTTTTCAAGCAAATTGCTAAATTAGAAAAAAAAGAGTAACATTCTTTCTTCTATCTTATGCATGCATTTATAAGAGAATGGAGTAATAAAGAAGTTACATAAATTAAACCTGTGGGTTGCACATCCTCAACAGGTAACTTCACTTTCGCACCGGCAAAGTGCAAACATCATTACAATTAAGTTGTACTTCTGAACATTTTTTTTACATTAACAACCTATATACAAGAGACTAAATGACAGCTGGTGCTTCAACGAATCATTTGGAGAGGTTATGAGTTAGAAGGGGAACAAGATACTAAGAAAAGAGAAAGAAACTGGCTTTACCATAAAGAAAAAAAAATACTAGTAAACAAAGCTATGAAAAACTAAAAATAATATAATTCTGAGGAAAAAAAGAGCTTAAGCACTTTTCTTTGCCTGTAGATCAATCTATACAATGAGACTGGCAATCCCCTGAGATAAGAAAATACATGGAAAACACCAATGATGTCTTGTCAAGACAAGAGCAAAAAATTAAATTAAGATTCTTTGGCAGTCTTTTCAAGTAGCCAGTACTGAGAAAGAGTCATATTTTTGTTTTAGTGTAATTTATATAACTTATTGTATTTATTATATAATAAATATATATATAATATGTGCTTATTATATTTATATTTTATAATTTATATTTTTAACAAATTAGCCCCAGTCTACTAGATTTAATTTTGCAAGACACAATCCAACCAGCACTAATGTCCTACAGCATAGTTTGAAGATATGACTGATTGACTATAAGATTATAATGGTTATTAATTAAAAGGCATTCAATTTTACTACACTGAGTTGGTGAAGAAACACTTATGTGACAAGATAATGCCCCACTAACTTAAAGCAGCCAGAAAGAAGAGAAAAAGAAAAATCTGTCCTACCTCAATACACAACATTTGAGTGACAGCTGTGGAAAAAACTCTTTCTTCCACTAACAATTGCACAGAAATTTCATGGGTCTGCCCTCCATCAGTGCTTGCCCCTTCCCACTATTTTATCTGGGGAAGTTAAAGGAGGATGAAGAAGGACAAAATAATTGAGCACACCAAACCAGCAGCCAAGCCACTAGCCATACTCCCTGTTGACACCCCTCATCGCACTGCTGTGCACACAATGCCTTTACACAGCCAGGTTCCAGGAAGGTGATTGTTGTATCTTCTACACAGCGTCTTCCATACCTTTTTATACAATGCACAGCCAAATCATATCAGTATTGACATAAAGCAACACAGGAGCACTTTACTCTGCAGCTTCCATGCCATGACAATGTAGGTATGGACCCCTCGAGTAATGTTTTACTAACTTCACTCAACATGCAATCTGTAACTTCAGCAAGGCTAGAAAGCTTTAGGTATCTCTCTCTCCCAAATTTCCAATTCTCCTGTATATAATAAGAACTAGAAAGGTACCTTATAAATACGCTGGATGATGTGGTTGTGATGTTTACTTTTGACAAATGTAAAATTATTAGTCCTAAGCTTAGATAATACAACTGTATTTGAATAAACTAATTTTCTCCTGATCTGTATTTCCCCTCCAAACCTTTAGGACAGTTTAGGGTAAAAGGAGTCAACTAAAAATCCCTTCCTAACCTTTCCACAAAATATTGTCTTGTTTTAACAATGCAAACAGAACTACTACTTAGATTTTAATTTTTTTTTAAAGCCAAAGAATAATGTGTGCTAACAGAGTAAAAGGAATTATTTGGGCCAGCAGTGCAAATCAAGTGTATAAATAACTGAAGCAGTTTGTCCAATTTTTTTCTTACTTCCACTTAATGGTGACTTTCAAGCTTAACACACATCTCATATTTCAAGCTTAGTAATTACACTAAGACATCTTTTTCCTACCAGGTTTACCCATCTGGAAATTCTTTGGGGACAGAGTACAAAAATAAATCAAATGTATGCCAAACAATATCTACAGTTTAATCTGAAATGTTATATTCTTTACTAGAAGGTGCCCTAGAAATAAGAAACATTTTTGTTGCCACTCTAACAGCTATACAATTTTCCAAACAAATATTTAGCTGCAAGCTTGACTGTGTAACAGACGTTAAAGATGAAGCTTGACTACTTTCAAACTCCAGCCAGTGAGAGTCATTTTTTGTAGCAAGCAGTCCACGTTCTTCAAAATGCAAAAACATGAATACAGCAGCAAATTCTAACCTAATGATGCAACATATTGAGGCACTGGCTTCTATTAGAAGCCAACAAAAGGAATACCATACTGAAAAAAGAAATGTCTTGTGTAGAAAACCTTATGAACACAATGCTGAATGAAGCATAATTTAGTAATTACCATACAATAGGGTACAGTCAAAAAAGCATCATCTGAACTAGCAACATGCAAAATGCATTTGCTGAAAAAGTTTCCTGCAAGCAAGCTAAAAGCTTGACTAAAAATCAAATCAGCAGGTAATTAACAGCAAAATCTATTTAGGCAGGAACACTGATTTTTGTCAGCTCATGCTTACAACAGGATTTATTACTACCAGACATGGCAGCAACAACAACAAGTTCTAAAGAGCTCGAAAGATTTACAAAAACTGAGAGAAAAGGAAATTGTACTATTCAGTAAGTCTGAGACACAAAAAACTGCCCATTTTGTAAGCTCCAAAAACTGCATGTAACTTAAACATGACAAAATTAAGGTCTGCTCAACAAAGGAGGAAGGTTAAGATATGCAAAAATATGAAGTAACTCTACAGTCAGACATCTGAGTTCAGGCAATAGGTGAATAATGTGATACTTCAAGACTCAGATGATATATAGTACATATTAATGTCTATTTTTCACTCCTTATTACAGCTTTTCAATTCAGGAACATAAAAAATACTATTAAAGTTTCAAAATTTCATAATAACCTAGCATAGAGTTAAACATATGTATTGAAAATACAAATGCAGTTCTAGCAATACTGACTTTCTGCTAGCATAATGAAGATAAAAAAAAATTAATTTTTTAGTTATCAAGAATCCAGTAATTAAAAAAATGTGTTTTATTTCAACCTAAAAGTAAGACTGAACTATGAGTTGAAGCCCCTGAAACTCAGACAATTCTTGGGTTATATGGCCGAGTTATTTTTTCAGTTTCAGTGATGGTGATCCAGTACTTTGCACAACATGAATGTAAATATTGCAGAGCTGGATTAAGGGATGAATAGCCACCTCCAGAACTTTTAATTACATGTTCAGACAGAATGCCTAGGATTTTGATTCACAAATAAAATCATATTTTATCTTCTAGTTTTGTAATTGCATCTCTCCACCAAACCATCCAGTGCTGCACTTACCTTTAGCTTCACACACTACTGAACAAGCTGAAATCCACTTCCTGTACCTCTCTTTTCATTGCTTATAGGAACATAACACAAATTAAGCCTTCCAGACTCACAATCAAATGTATTAAAGATAGACTGCATTTTTGGGGGTGATGTAAGTAGAAAGTGTTTTCTTATAATTTTCTCTATTGAAATTTTTGTTCTTACTTAGTAACAGTTCATTCTGTGACTCTGATTCCCAGAGGTTCCAATTAAAATTGAATTCTTGAGGTACCAGGTGCTGTTTCCATAAATGCAGAATTCCTGCCTGAAAGATCCTACCTTACCAACTGGCATTTCAAAAAGTACTCAAACAATGTCCCTACCTGAAGCTGATACTAGAACTTCCATAAACCTAATTGGAGCCAAGATAAATTAATAGAGTACTTCTGAAATTTTTAACTCATCACTGTCCTGTATTTAATCACTCAGAATCTGCAATTTACTATATTGAAAGAAGAAAGACTGCAGCATTCTTGAAAGATGCAGTGCCACTAAGAGAGACACTCTGGCCATAATTTATATTTTTTGACTTACCAGACTGTATTCTGACAAAAAAAAACCCACCAAAACCCACACCACTTTACTGCATTTATATTCTAGATGCATGGAAAGTCTGAAGCAACTGTCTTCACCACCTAAAGAGCCTATTTATGTGAAGCACTTCAATATGTAGGGTTACACTTGTTCTGTTTCTGGAGACTCTGAGGCATGGATAACACATGGTCAGCACTGAATTGGAGACAGAATGTTGTGAAGTGCTTTGCAGAAATACAATTAACTTGAAATTATTTCAGAGACGCTCTTGAACATTTCAGTCTGTTGCTTCTACGGGGTTTAAGTAAAACAAGTCAGGTATTCCTTATTGGAACAGGCAGATGGTGTGAAGAGGAGGCAAAGACAGCTGTAGAAGGCACCTAAATTCAAGCTCTTCTACAGTATTTATGAACCCTTATGTGCAAGCTAAGAACTAGTCTGTTAATTTGCTGTGGCAAATGAACAGCAATTTTGTGGCTGTACAGAAAAGCTTAGTGAACTTTCTGGATTTAGATCAAAACATTGGGCAGTTACAGGCAAAGGGCTGCATGTATCTGTGCAGTATGCAGCTCATTCTTGCCACAGAAAACTGAGCAACTTAATCTCTGTAATAACTTGTAAGCAGTATTCCTAAGTTTAATATAAGAAAAAGTACAAAAGATAGTCAAAGAAGGAATGCCAGTCTCCCTGCTATATTATCTAGTTGCTTTTGCAGTTTGTCTCGTCCTTGGACAAATGTGAGTGAAAATTCAGTCAATTTGTTTTGATTATAAATTTAGAAAACAGAAGCATTTGGTCTAACAATAAGGCAAACTGACATCACCCTTTGCTCCAATTCTGGGCTAATTAAGCTGATGGAGGTCAAACTTGATCATTTTTAACCCAAGGGATGGGTGTCATGGTTTAGGAATGATATTCCTGAATTAAGAGTCCGACTGAAACTCCAAACCATAAACTGCTCCCTCACTTCCCCCTCCCCTTGTGAGAGGCTGAAGAGGTGAATTGGAGGCACAAAGGTAAAGATCACAGGCTGAGTTAAGAAAAATTTACTGGAAACAGCAATGAGATAAGAAAACAAACATTAACAGCAACAACACTGAAAACAAATATGTATCAGAGAGAGGAGAGTGGTTCATATGCAAAATGCTCAGAACTGGCACTACCCAACCACTCCCTCTGCCAGACTTTCTTGACTGGAAGCCAACCCCTTCTCCCTGGAGGAGTGTCTCTTTTCCCTCACCCTTTTCAATGAAGTGAAGTGGTACAGGATAACCTCCAGTCCCAGCCATGCCCCCTCCTGGCTACTGCAGAAATTAACCCTGTCCTGGCAGAACCAGAACAATGGGGAAGCCAGGAAACACAGAAGCAAAGACTTCATGATCATGTATTTACAAACCTGTTGATAGTTTGGAAACTGTGAAAAAACTGCTAAGGTAGGAAGGTTCCAGGAATAAATCATACTGCACTGATAAAAGAAAATTTCATCCCCTGAGGACTTGATGCCCTTCTCCCCTGATATATATATAAAAGGAATGCTTACACAAATGTAAGGGTCCTTCCTACTAATAAAATTTATTCTTTTTTTAAAAAAGGGAAGACTGGATTCTTCCATCTAGAAAAAAATTAACATAAAAAGTAATTTAAAGAGTTACTAACCTTTTTCATTGTGTGGATTTCTTTTTTCTGAAATAAAAGAAAAAGGAAATGATGGTCAAGAGAAATAATATTTTGAAAATTTCCCTCTGCTTACAATACATTTGAATAAATAACCTGCCATATTAAAAGAGAAAAAAGAGGAAATATTTTTATATCCTTTCTCTGGAGCACCTGAAACAGTGAAAAACATCTTTCAACACGTTACTTCCCCTAAAATCTTACTACCTGTGATGGTTAAATGTACAGAAACAGGAGTACATATCTTTCTATATCAATCTGTAGCTAGAAACCTGTAGAAACAAATCTGTAGCTAGTATAGAAAATATGCAAAAAGATATTTTAGTAACATGAGGGGTAAAAAAGAAATAATAGAAAAACACTTTTATATTGGAATGATGACACTGAGAGGTTTTGAGTTATCACTCCGAAAGAACTTGTTATTTCAATACTACTTGTTGAAGGAACCATAGTTAAAATCTAAATAACACAGAATAAATTTGTCATTTTCCACAGTACCTTCAACAGTATCTTTATTCCAACCACTAGTAGCACTTTAAGTTACTAGAACACTTGAAAGACTTCTGTTATTAAAATAAACAGGCTCTAAGGATCATCTTGAAATTTTAAAAACATAAGCTCTCCCATCCACACCCTGCCAATCACACAGGGTCTCATCTTACAGTTTTACAGCAGAGAAAAATTAACTTTATCAGAGGTAATGGCATTTCAGAAAAATTGCAGAATACAAGCCAAGAACTTTCCTTCTCATTAAAAAGAAACAAAATTACAAACAAACAAAAAAAATCCAAACCAGTAAAAGCCACAAGAAAAGATACTCTGCCTAATGCCTGGTCTGCTGGCTATGAAGTGTTGGGCAATCTGCTAAACTCAGCAAATGAGGGATGGGCTGTTTTGATGTCTCAGAATCAGAATCCCAGCATTGCTGAGTACACAAACACAAGTTATTTACAGTGCTAATATGAACATAACAGTCCTACTGAGTCAAATGAAAGACTTGTTTATGACTGTGGTCAGTAGGGAAAGAGTACAAGAAATCACTTTCACTTTTCTTCAATATACCCTTTCCAGAGACCCATACCTTTGGAAAACAGCTAGAGAAATACATTGTGCTGAACAACCTTTAAAAAATCTTCATTTCCCACGTGTTTGTTTAATGAAGTGATGCTGAATCGAATCTGAAATCTGAGTTAAAATTCATTTTTTGTTTAAAAAATGCTAAAAAAGCTTTGAAGTTTAAAAAAATACTGAACCTTTTAAAATGTTATCTATTGCCCCAAGGCAGTTAAGCTATGTCAGGACCTTAATTACAATTAAAACTAAGCTTACAATTCTAAGTAATACAAAAAATTCATTCAGAAGGGCAAAGTTAGAAGCTGCTAACAGGAAAAGGTCAATAACAATTCCTAAGATTTTACACACTAGCAATAACGTAAGAACAAGAAAATATGAAGTAATTAGAACAGCCTACTGATGACTTACTGATGATTTAATGTTCAAGGACTACAAGTTAAAGGAAATGGAACGAGGTGTTCTATACCAACTTTTATTTTTTTATCCATTCTATATATAGAAGTTATTAGAAAATAAATCCTACAAAATTCCAAATTACAATTCAGACTTATGTGTTGTGGAAACCACATCATCTGTACAGGAGCTGTGCTGGCAACTGAGCTCTGTAGTTCAAGGATGTACCTAAATTCCCTAAACTTCAAGAACAAGGTTTGAGGGGTACATTTACACAAGGGGTTCTAGATTAGCAAATAAAGGAAGCACCAAAGTGAGGAAAATCTCATCACATATACACACTTAAGGAAGAGAAAACTCATGCACAAATCCTAAGGGAAATGCCAACAATGTGGTTTCAATAATCTAAGGGAAACACAAAACCTTTTACTGCACTTACCAGCAAAGCATTTGGAACAGAGATTCATAGTCTTGCTGGACCTGGGGCAAAAAATAAAAAAAGAATAGAGCTAAAAAATTCATTTTATTTCTAATCAATACAGGGAAGCTTTGGGGGAAATGAAGCAAGGGTACAGAGAAGGTAAGAACTTAAATGGCTAGGAATCAAAGCTAAGTGGCTAGAAGTGGCTGAACTAGAAACAAGAGTATGGACAGAGACTTTGTACAGTAATCTCTTTCCAAGAGTTTCCAAAACATGATTTCTACACATTTACCTCATATATGAAAATAAACTTACTTTACCATTCAATGTATATGTTACACATTCATCATTCAAATCTTTGTATTGCAATGTGATAATAAGGATAGACAGGAAGCACCAATACATTCCACTTGAATATTAGACTCCCCCTGGCAACAACTCTCCAGTCCTGATGAATCCTGAATACAATACAGCAATGGAGAGATTAAGTATTGTACTTATAAGGACACAGACAGATGTGCTCTTGGAAGTCTAGCTAGAATGGTTTAAGGAATGGTTTATTACATCAAGGTGTTCATGACTACCTGCAGCTGCATTCTGCAGTAATTTAAAATAGCCTGCCTTTGCACTAACATGGACTAGGATAGTTCATATGATCCACACGGGTGGCTTAGCTTTGAGGGCAGCAACCTTCAGTTGAGAGAAAAACAGCAGGAGAACAGCATCAATATCTCAAGCCTCCCAGATGTCTACAAAGTGCATATGCAATTATGCCACAGTCAGTAGCCTCATAAAAATTCAAAAAATAAAATAAAATAAAAATTGAGGTTGTGAGACCTCTCTAGGGCTTGCATGAAAATACCCAAAGCAATACACTATGTTTTCCCCAATTTACAAAAAGTTATAACATCACATCTCCTTTACAGAGTGACCTGGAAAATATTTTCAAAAGTTCTCTATGTGTTGGAGAATCTTTAGGCAGGAACAAACTGGTTTCTGTGCACACTGCCCAGTATTTGATTTGCTCTGCATTCCTGAACCAACTCTGCCATTATTTACAGGCATTAACACTATCCTGGGAAAGTCTGAAAGTACAAGGCAAGTACAAGTACAAGGCAAGGCTGTACCAAAACTGTCCATGGCCGTAAGACATTTTTTCCTCCTCAGGGAAGCCTCCAGCTGGAACATATCATTTAGACAAATCATTTGCACCTTTCTCTCTAGAAAAATGCATACAAAGAAACAACTGAGACTACCAAAACAGTTGTTTTCTACCTCCAGCCAAACAGGAATGGAATTTTGAGAGACCTATGTCTAACAACACACCAATTATAAAAAACTGCTTGTTCCCTTGAGACAAAAAAGACCTGGAAATTTTTTCAAAGCAATTATATCACAAATGAACACATATCAGAATTATAGACTCCCCCTGCCCGAATTTGCACATGGTTATTTTGAATGACTTTCCAGTAATAAAGTAAATCCAGACTTGGTCAATCATGTCTTGGTATCACTCACATCAAAACATTACACATGCTTTTCAATTCATGCACATCTGAAAGCTGGTTTACATCAGGCTCAAAAATTCTGTAAGATCACATATCACTGGAGATTTGAGCCATAACCATTTGCTGGCTATAGCAAGAGCCACAGACACATAGAAACTAGTTTTAAATGCAAACAGTATGTGCACAGGAGAAAAGTTAATTCCCAATAAAAGCAGAACAGCATTTGTAGCCATACAAATATATCATCAGACTAGTAGATACCCCAAAGACTCAATGTGTTGACAGTCTGCACAGATCATCTACCTTCAAGAGAGCCGCAATTAAAAACAGCATGGTGAGTCAACACCTACAGCATTAGTGTGCTGCAGTTCAGTACTCACTGCTTATGGGTTAGACCTTCTGGAGAAGCTCAATATGCCAGGCAGGACCTTCTCTGCAAAGCCACTAAACCCAGGGGCAGCAAAGAAAAAGAAAGGCAGAGTTCAGCTGGTTCATACTGATGACATTGGAACGGGCAATGACAAATGTTTTCAGTGGTATAATCAACCATCTCAGCTGTTAAATATCAATCCAAAGCCTCATAAAATATTTACTTATCAGCACACCAACAATGGAAAACACAGATGCAAACAAAACATAGATCTCTGTAAAAAACTGAGAAAAGGCTGCCATGTACGTCTAACACACAAAATCCCACGAAATTTTCTGAAAGGACATTGTAAGCCAAAAAACATTGTTACAGTTTCAAGGATCAGTTTCTCTTTGATCCTTGTATACCCCTTTTCAAGGCATCCAAGTCGGTCTGAAGCTGCTACTATGATGAGAACCTGAACCTTGAATGCTTTTTTAATAGTTTTAGACAGTCACTTATGTGAGAGCAGATACATCAATATTACACTAGAACTAAGAAAACAGCAAAGACAGAGTAACAGCATTGATCAACAATCAGCTTCTTTGTGAAAATGCAGTATTTAATTAGTAAAAGTTTTATGAAGAAAATGCATTACACAATTTATATACATCAAATCTAGTAGGTCACTGTCTGTCCAGTAAAATGTTTCACATCTTCTTGCTACACTGCAAATCCCCCCTCTTATTGCTAGTATCTACTCTTTCCAGCAGGCGAGGGTTCACTCACCAGACTTAAAAAGTAGTAAACCTGCATACTGCCATTCTCTCTTGAAGCACATGTCAACCACATCACTGGTTTAATTATTTCTCAGTGACTCCAGAATTTACCAGAAGCTCATAGTGCCAATGAAGAACACAAAAATGTAAAATTTCTTTGTTCCTGAGAACCGTCTCAAATATATCATACACATGCAGTATCTCCTACTTCTAGAGACAATTTTATCTGAAACAACCTAGTTATGAAATATCAGTCTTGATCACTACACAGCCCTCTGTTTCCACTTCATAGGAAAAGGATGGTCATGGATAACTTTTAGAGAAGGCAATACAATTCCTCTTTCTAGGAACACATAGCAAAATCATGACCATAGTGGTGTATAGGGCACAGCAAAGCTAGAATTCTATGTTAGTCCTGGCAATGAGAATTGTGTGCTTTAGACTGCAAGTCTTTAGGCTGACACCCAGAACTTCTACACCCTTCTGATGCAGCTGGTTTAGGATATGCTTCTGAAATCAGATATCAAATCACCACATTTTTTAACTGCACATATTATAGTAATTCCTAGGTTTCTCTCATATAACATCAGCTTCATGCTGAACAGTACCAAAATTACTAATTCTAATCCAGAATTACTCACAGTATATATTTTATATGTACAATTTTCCTAGAAAGTAATTTTTATACAGATAATTTATAATCGCCACTTATACATAATTTAAGATGGTATTCAGAAAGACATTTATATTTATAGATAAATCAAGTCAAATAGAATGGCATTATTGCTGAGGCAGAATATATAGTTAAACCCTCTTTGAAGGTACTTCCATTTGTCAAAAAGAAACCATTTAACTGAAGTGTGACACAAAACTATTATGTAGATTGGAAACCACAAGGTGAAGCAAGCTCAGAAGGTCAAGAGTAAAACTAAGTTAAATGCAGAGGATACTTCAACCCTAGATGCGACAGAATGATTACATGCAACAGTTCTGCAGGGTTTGGTCTGAAAGAAGCAAGGGTATTAAAATTGCGTCTCCTGACAAAGGAAAAAAACCCACTCCCTTAACAACATGGCCATGAAAGCAGTAGCAACGACATAGGGACTCTGAAAGAGGAAATAATTTACAGAAATAGGAAATCCTGGAAATTCTAACATGTTTGTACTTATAAGCAGGAAATGCACATTTAAGGCTCTCCAAACCATCATCCATTACTTGTGCTGTTGTGTCTTGCCACAACGAAGGGAACTATTTGAGCATTCAGGCATGAACACAAACAGCTAGCTACAAGGCCCCAACCTCAGAAAAATGCACATCTGCATCTCCAGTTAAAGGTGCATAATGCAAACTGAGAGCCAGCAACGAGCATTAAGCAGCAAAAATCACATACTTCAAATCCTATACGTGCTTGTATTACATACTGCTATTGATATGTAACTAATTATGAAAACTGAAAAGACTGCTTCCCTGATTCCATTTTCATATGGTACTTCCTTTACATTCTTGTGAAGGTATAGAGTGGCTTTATCTGCTCCAAGAAGAGCACTTGATCTTATAAACTTAATTTCATGCTCTATACCATCAATTATTCCTCATATTCCCTGCCATTTTACAGTATGTCATTGAAGGTACCATCCAAATGCACATTCTACTCTATCTTCACTGGAAGTTTGGTTTTTCTTCCCCCTCTTCCAGTAAGTGACTATCAATACCACATTCAGAGAATGCAACTGAATTCTAGCCCTAAATCTCAAAGCTACAACATTTAGACGCGCAGCAGCTGATCAGAATAAACAGAACCAAAAGACAATCCCACTCTGAAGATTCAAGAACAAATTACATGCGGAAATTTTGTGCAGTCAAAGAGTTAAAAAGAAGTATACCAAAATTTGACTGATCTCAAGATACTCAGTCTCCAAAATCAAACCTCTGCCAAGAAACTTAGACAGGCACACCTAATGAAGGTTTTAGTAACAGAATCCTCCATTTTCCAGCAGATGGCCAGGTGCTTCAAAACTTCCCCATCCCATCTATAAGACAAAAAATAAAAGGACACCAGAAACACTAAAAACTAATACTAGCTTTACCCTACACAAGTGCCAAAGGGCAATACAAAATGCTCATTTTCACCTGTATTAGCATGCCACCTAGACTTTTTAAGGTAATGCTTGTTGTGAATTAATGTTGTAAATATTGGCTTTTCACTATTATTCTGATAAATATATTATATGCTTTCACTATATTCTTTTCTCTTAGCAAGTTACAGGCTTAGATAGGAATTCTGAATGGTAAGGATATGTCTCATCCGGAGAAGGCAAGATAACTCCAACAGGCAAGACAATGGGAGGATCAAGCTGTGGAAAACAGGCTATTATCAGCAGCAGGAAATGGAGAGCAAACTGTTACCAAAAAGCCGGTACCAG